CATCGGGCTCCCTGCTCGGCGGGAAGCCTGCTTCTCCCTCTCCCACTCCCCCTGCTTGTGTTCCCTCTCTCGCTATCTCTGAATCTGTCAAATAAATAAATAAAATCTTAAAAAAAAAAAAAAAACTGGTTCCATAAGAAAAGAAACAGTTCTGACTTGTAGTGTTTGTCGATTTCCATTATATAAACACTCCTAGCGTAGATGATTTCACGCCACCAATGTAATGTCACTACATCCAGAGTTGGGGACAAACGTACACAACTCATTCTCACTAGCCACTGTGAGCTGACTCCTGCATACCACCAAATATTACCCATAGAGTCATACATTATAAAATTCAATTATTTTGTGTATATGTGAACACATGTTTACATGCATTTGTGTGTGTGCATGTGCATGTATGCATGTATATAAAACCAAAACACACATAAAAAGACCGGGAGAGATATCCAATGGATGATAGGGTTTTTGCTGGGGGAGGAAATGGTATAGGGTAGGAGGAGAAGGATATATAGAACTTATGTTTTATCAACTTCATTGACTTGTTTGCCTACTGCTTATGTATTTATTGGGTCAAAATAGGATATTTTATGTTCTCACTAATATTAACATTAAGCTCCAATATGACATAAATAACCAGCTAAATTAGATGTCATATTACACACACACACTCACACACACACAACACACACACACAAACACCTTCTAAAAAATATACAACTTACTTTGGCTTCAGTTTCTCCCCTGTGAAGAGTATATAGATGATGGACAGCACTTTGTGATGAAGACCAAGGATGAGTCAGAATCTGGAAGACATGAAAGTCATGGCCAAGGGTGTCTGTTGTGACTAGAAGCATTCCTGAAAGACACACCAAAAAGAGTAAAAATAAAAACAATTATGTATGTGGATGAAATATTTTCACAAAATACTCATTATACTTTAAAGGAAAAAAAATTATCAAAGATGTAAAAAACTTTCCCCAATAAAAAAAATTAAAACACAGCACCTTTTTCCTGTATGAACACAAAACCTTCATGCCACATCAGTATACATCAGTATACATTTAGTGAGGACGCTAACTGTAGTTTTCTGATGTTCCCATATAACTAGTAGAGAAAGGTTTACCAAGAGTTCACAAGCATTTTAAAACAGCCAATCTGATAACAAAGAACGTGAAAATGACTTCTCTCCATGGAACTAAAACCTGCTCCCACTTTTTACCATTTCTCAAAACCTGAATTTTGAGTTTCAGTTTATCTACTAATACCCTACCTTAATTCACCAGTTTAAACTGTGTCTCTACCCTGGCATAACATTTATCCAAACTGCCTACAGTGTCTCACGGAGCAAGTTTTTAATTTTGACAAAATGTCATAGCGAAGAATTCTTTGCCTAATCCATGGTCACAAATATTTTGTTTTCTTGTCAAAATTTCAGAGTTTTATATTTTACATATAGGTCTATCATTCATTTTGAGTTAATTTTTGTAAAAAGTATGAGGTGTCGCACAAATTAACATTTTTGCAAATGATGTCCAATTGTTCCAGCAAGATTTCTTCAAGAGACTGTTCTTTATCCACTGAATTCTTTATTCTTTATTTTTTTATCCATTGTCAACTTGTCAAAGATCAACCAGCTATATCTGCATAGGTCTTTTTCTGGAAGTATTATTCCAGTCATTCAATTTCTGCATCTATGCTTTCATTAATACCACACATTTTTTTTTTAAGATTTTATTTATTTGTCAGAGAGAGAAAGAGAGCACAAGAAGGGGGAGTGGAAGAGGGAGAAGTAGGCTCCCCGCCAAGCAAGGAGCCCGAAGCAGAACTCGATCCCAGGACCCTGGGATCATGACCTGAGCCGAAGGCAGATGCCCAACCAATTGAGCCACCCAGGCACCCCAATACCACACTTTCTTGACTATTGTAACTTTATAGTAAATCTTGAGATCAGGTAAGAACCTTTTCAACATTATTTTGGTTATTCCAATTCCTTTCTAAACACAGAATCAGATTTTGATATAACAAAAATTCCTAGGATATTTTTTTGGGAGGATTATATTAAGTCTATAAATCAATTTGAGGGTGATGGACATCTTAACAATATTGAGTCTTCTGATCTATGAACACTTCATATTTCTTGATATATATATCTTCTTTGACTTTTTTTCTTGTTCAGCACACAAATTGTAAATGTACCTAGATCCATTATAAATGGGACTCTTCATTTTATCTCAATTATCAATTTTTCCCTGCTGGCATATAGAGACATAACTGACATTTTTTATATTCTGCCAGTTCTAGGAAGGGTTTTTTTAGATTACATGGAATTTTCTTTACAGACTATCATGTAGTATGTGAACAGACATAATTTTATTTCTTCCTTTCCAAATTACATGCCTTTTTTTTCTTTTTCTTCACTTACTACATTTGCTGAGAAAAAAGAACTGGTGAAAGCAATATTCATGGCTTCCAAATTTTAGGAGAAAGGATTCAATCTTCAAGTATGATATTAGCTTTAGGATTTTTTATAAATGCCCTCTATCAACTTGAGGATGTTTCTTTATACTCCTAGTTTGTTGAGAGCTTTTATAATGAACAAATGTTGAATTTTGTCCAGTGTTTTACACCTCTGAAATGATTATGTGGTTTTCTTCTTTACTCGATTAATATGGTGAATTTTACTAATGAATGATAATGTTAAACAAGCCTTGCATTCCTAGGATAAGCTCCACCTGGTCAAAATCCTTTATTATATGCTGCCAGATTCAATTAGCTAATGTTTTAAGGTTTTCATGATGTGTTCCTGAGGGATATTCGTTTGTAGGTGTCTAATCATGTGTTTGTCTGTTTTTGGAATCAGGGTAAAGCTGGTCCTATTGTGAAATGTTCCTTATATTCTTATTTTCTAGAAAAGATTGGGGGAAACTGCTATTATTTCCTACCCTTAGATGTTCAGTAGTATTTGCCAGTGAAACTATGTGGGCCTTTTTGTTGTTGAAAGCTCCAAAATCATTTTAATTTAATTTCTTTGTAATTTAAATTTTATTACTTTAAAATGGAAAACTGGGGTGTTTAAATGTTCTTGGGTGAATTACTTTCTGTAACTCAAGGAAATGGACTTTATTAATATCTGTAGGATCTTTGGTGATGTCTACTTTTTCATTGAGATTATCAATAATTTGTCTTCCCTCCTTTTTTCCTTGGTCATACTGGCTAGATGTTTTCAAGGATATCTATTTGGGGTGTCACTGAGTTTTTCTTTTTTCTTTTCTTTTCTTTTTTTTTTTTTTAAGATTTTATTTATTTTTTGACAGAGAGAGAGACAGCAAGAGAGGGAACACAAGCAGGGGGAGTGGGAGAGGGAGAAGCAGGTTTCCTGCTGAGCAGGGAGCCCGATGCGGGGCTTGATCTCAGGACTCTGAGATCATGACCTGAGCAGAAGGCAGACGCTTAACGACTGAGCCACCCAGGTGCCCCAGCTGTCACTGATTTTCTTTCAATTTCATTGATTCATCTCCTATATTCCTCCTTCTGCTATTAGTATCTTCTGTTACTATTTCCTTCATTCTCCTTGCTTTAGTTTTATTTGCTCTGTTTTTTCAACTTTTTCTTTGTTTAACTCACATGAACACACAACCCTGAGATCAAGACCTGAACTGAGATCGAGAGTCAGATGCTTAACCCACTGAGCCACTAAGGCGCACCTTTTTCAACTTTCTTAAGGTGGAAGCTTAGATTACTGTTCCCGGAACTTTCTTCTTTTTCAGAGTAAGCATACATTGGTATAAATTTCCCTATAAACCTGCTTTAAAATGGAATGAATTCCAAAAACTTGTTATTGCCTTTTCATTTGCATTCAGTTCTAAATGTTTTCCAGATATTTCCTCTTTATTCATGGGATATTTAGTATGTTGTTGAGTTTTTCCAAGTATTTGGGTATTTTTCAGGTATCTTTCACATACTGAGTTTTAGTTTAATTCCATTATGACAAGAAATTTGTTAAACCTTGTTTTATATCTGAGACTAGATTGCAGTGACTGTTCCACACACACTCGAACACTTGCAGTGTTATAAAGGTCAGTTAATTGATAGAATTGTTAGGATCTTCAATATCCTTACTGATTGATTGCCTACTTTCTTGTTCTACCACTGAATAGAACCAAACACTTCCAAGTATAATTGTGGATATTTTTTTTTCAGTTATATAAGCTCCCTAAATTTTAGACCTTTTTTTTTTAAGTCCATACACATTTAGGATTATTAGGACTTCTTTATGAACTGCCTCTTTTATCGAGATGTCCCATTTTAACCCTGGTATTTTCCTTGTTCTGAAGTCTACTTTTTCTGGTATTGATATCATTACTCTAGCTTTGTTCTGATTGGTGCACACATGGTATATACTTTTCCATTCTTTCACTTTTATAATCAATATAATTGTATTTAAAATGATTTTGTTTTAGACAATAATTGAGGTCTAATTTGGGGTTTTCTTAAATTCAATTCTGGACTTTTTAAATTGGTGTCTATAGTTCATTTACATTTAGCCTAACTTACTGGTAGGGTTGAGTTTATAGCTACCATTTTATTATTTTTTTATTATTTTTCTGATGGTTTCCTTGCTTTTGTTGTTTCTCTGTTCTTGCTTCCTTCCCTTTTCCTAGATAATTTCAATACTTTTAATATCCAATTTTAATTTTTCTATTAGCTTTTTAAATCTCTCTCTTTATATTAAATTTCTGTCGGTTGTTCCAGAAACTATAATACACATATCTAAATTTGTGTGTGTTTGTTTATATTTTGTCCAGAATTTATATTTGTTTTCTGTGGGAAGAATGATTTATTAGCTCACTCTGCTATGCCAAAAGCAGAATCACATTTTTTAACTCTTAAAACTTTTCTCAGTTGAAAAAAAATATATGAAAGAATATTAAGCGCTAGTGGAAGATAAGGTCGGCATTTAAATGGAAAGATGAAGTATATGTGAGTTTGCTATCTACTTGGCTAATATAAGGTACAGCTCTAGTCACTATGTTAAATTCAAAAATACCATACTAGACGCCAGTGTCCTGACTACTTCCAAAAGAATACATTTTAGATGATGAAAAGTGTCATTTATTGATATCTACTTCAAACGTGTAACAGTTTATATAACATTGCCTCCCATTCTGCACCCAGCTATGGTCATGGGGTCACTGACATACTTTATATTCTTTCCATATTATTGTTGTTATCCAAACAATAAATTTCTAAGGTTGAGCATGAATGCTTAATTGTCCTTTTGTGGACAATATTTCTTCACTCCTCCTACTTTTTGCTGAGTGATACTAAGTCTGAATTATCACAATTCTGCTACTATGTTTTGATTTCACTTTTCCACCACAAAATGATTTTCTGCACATGAGAAACAATTCAATGGAAACATTCTGACAGGAAAATGATGAACTTATAGTACAAATATATGACTCACCTACTAAAGATAAACTTCATTTCTTTTAGAATCGTATCAATATTGTACTCATAATAAGCACTGCAGTAAAAGTCCCTGTTAGCCAAATCAAGACAATTACTGTTTCTCATGTGAATGATAATCACAAATGAATACTTTTCAATAGGCTCCCAGCTTTTCAAACTGACATTAACAACTGTCTAGTTTCTAATACGTAAAACAAATTGAGATTTTTAGAGAAATAGGCCACTGAAAATTTATCTTTATTAGATTCTGTGTATCCTATCTAAAAAGTTTTCTTTTGGGGTGCCTGGGTGGCTCAGTCAGTTAAGTGGCTGCCTTCAGCTCAGGTCATGATCTCGGGGTTCTGAGACTGAGCCTTGTGTAGGGCTCCCCACTCAGTGAGGAGT